GTTAGTAGGGTACTCTCAGTTCGTAATTTGTTTTTCTTTAGTAGCAGCACTTTTATAAGCTGCTCATGATGTACTTTTAGTCTTTTGGATAAATGTGATTCACATTTCATCCTAAAAAATATATATATATATGTATATATATGTTCTTGTAAGACTAATTGGGACATTGACCAAATAGGAGCAAAGGTAATTCGGTGAAATGTATCCTTATGATTCTTAATATGGGTTCGTTGCTAGTGTTCCTAAACACTAGAGTTGATGGCTGGTAGGAAACTTGTAGATATTTTCTAGTTGCTATAGATTGCTGGTGCTTGTTTCTTTGCCATTTCTGTTATTAACCCAGATGATGCCAAAGGCAAATTGGGGTTGTATCTTGTGAAGGCAGCAATATTTCAGAAACAAGCTTAACCGTGTTGAGGATGATATGTTCATGTTCATTTTAGAGCCTCCTGGGACAGTTGACTTGTGAAAGCTTGTAATTATTATAAGCATTAAGTCTAGATTCCAGTTTCTATATGAGTCATTTTTCCTTTGGGCCATTCACAATAAGTGATGAGATCTTTTCCCCAGTGGATTTATTCCTGAGGTTTTCTGTTGCAGGTTCACCGTGGTCTAGATATTGGATCTGCAAAGCCTCCCCTCAGTGACAGAAAGGTACCTGCTTAAGATATATTTACATGACTAGTGTTATTCATTAATTATGCATACATGTCAGTCCACAGAAGAAGGAAGATCAATATCAAATCAGAACATCTTTGGGAAACTTTGATGCACTTACGGTGGAAAAATTGTTTGGCTTGATTAGAAAAGTCAACAAATTTTAAAAAATAGTAATTGAGTATCATAGGGGGCTTTTGCAGATTTAAACAGATTCATGTACTTTGAGGGCATAATTGTGCATGGTTTTTATCGTGAACTTATGTTGCACGTATGCTAAAATTATTTATAAATCTCTTCTTTCATATATCTCATGTGTCGTTGACCCCAATTACTGTCAAGGTCTCGAGCCACATGTATTATTTCTCTGAGTCAGCGTATTTTTTTGGCAGTTGGCAGTCTTTTTTTTACCCGAAGAACCAAAGTATGCTGCAGAATAGGGCTTGGTTATAGTAGCTCTTCTCTTTCTTTCTTTCTTTTTTTTTCCTACTTAGGTGGCTATAGCCTGTTGATTAGAAGCAATTGGTGGATTGGAAAGGCCTGATTGTTCTTGTTGCTATTACAAGAATGGTGAAGAAACAATTTATTCAGCTAATAAATTTTCATGCACTCAGGCTTCAGCTTTTGGAAATGGCTTGTTAATTTATAGAACTCTTTGTTAATACACTTATATGATCTAATGCATGAAAATTAAGCAAGAATTCTATGGATTAATGAGCCATTTCCATTTGAGGCAATAAGCTGTTTGGGTTTGACTGAAGTAAGCTCCTTTGTTGCCTGTGTATCACTTTTAGCTATTCAGTGACTATAATTTGAAAAATATATTTTCTCTCTCTTTTTTTTTCCCCATAAATAGCTTCCTTAACTATCTGACTTCAATCCTTGGAGGAAGTGCCACACCATCTGGTGGACATATTGGATCCATTTGAAGGTATGTTTCTGGTAACATCAGATAATGTCAATCAACCATGTTATGCATTCTGTTTATCATAGACATTGTTCACCTTCCTAAGTTTCTGAAAGTTTCATTTCTCAATATTAAAAACTGAGTTTTATTCTTTTTATTAGTTCAGACTATTCTGTAGGACAATTTTTTGAGGATGCCAGGCAGGCAACAAGAGATGTTCTTGACAGTGGCCATGTTCCTATAGTCACAGGCGGAACTGGCTTGTATTTACGATGGTATGTTCCTAGATATACTTTTGCCTAGGTGAGCTTTGTTAAGTTGCTGTGCTTCATCTTTTTCTTCGGTATAACTTCCTGATCTCTATAAACTAACCTCTTTGCAACAAAGTCTGCATTTTCTCTTTGATTCTCCTGGCTTCCTCAATTGGGTAGTGTTGCTTCATATTGTGCTTTAAATACTTTGTGAAGAGCATTTTCTCTTATGGTAATACTTCTTGTGATTTTATAGGCTGGCCTGGCATGTTCTGGTTGAATTTTCTTTCTCAGGAGTTATTGTAAAACAACATATATGTAGTTGTTTGCTATGATATCTCTTCTTTTTGCTGTTAGGTTTGTATATGGAAAACCAGATGTTCCAAAAGCTTCTACAGAAATTGCTGCTAAAGTACATGCAGAGATAGCAGATTTTGAGAGAGATGGGGAATGGGATGCTGCTGTGGAAATGGTGGTTAAGGCAGGAGATCCAAAAGCTAGGCCATTGCCTGTCAACAACTGATATTGATTTCGTCACAGCCTTGAGATAATCAAGGTCAGTGATAATGGTTTAAAGATCTTTGTATCCTCGCACCCATTCACAATCCCACCCCTTCGAGTACAGAGATGCATGGTGATGTTTGCATATAGGCCATATCATGTACGTTGCTTTGGAAAAAATTCATTTAACAATAAACTTGTTATTTTATTTTTTATTTTTTGTTCTCTGAAACATCCTAATTTTGTCTTTGTAGTTCAGTGAGTTAAATATTGTGATGAGATTTTCTTCTGCTTGACTCACATATGAAGGGTGATAGCTCAGACATCTCCATCATATGTGCTCACGTTTCTTGATTGGATTTCTTGGTATGGCAGTCTACTGGATCGCCTCCATCTGCCTTCCATATACCATATGATTCTTTCAAACAACAATTTGATTCAAGTGGAACAAATGATTCTCACAACTTGAACCCTTCTCGTGTTGTTCCTGAGAAAGTTACCGCAAAGGAATTGGACTATGAGTTCGTTTGTTTTTTCCAAGCCCCAGACTTAATCTGTATAGATTAATTGACTTAAGGTGTGAAGAAATGCTTACAGGCAACCTGAGACTTAATTGTATAGCTTGTGAGCTCTTCTAACATAACATTTACAACTATGATTATTGACCCTACCATCACATGTAAATTTTTTATGGCTGAATCTGTTACTAATCTTATATTTCATGTGGGCCATGTTTGTATTTTGATTGCAGTAGGAACAGATGGGATCTTGTCTGAAGCTAGATGGCTTCTTGATGTTGGGCTCAATCCAAATTCAAACTCAGCAACTCGAGCAATTGGTTACAGACATGTGTGTCCTTGTTAACCGTATTGCTTTTCCTCTTCATTATGTATCAATCTCCAGGATATGCAAACGATAGCTAACTTCGAAATTCATTTCTTGATCCCCCCAGAATGCTTATTTTTGTGAAGTGCTTCAGTTTCTTTGTTCGAGTCAATTCCCTTATGAAGTGAATACTCAAATACTCTTTTAAGGCTATCATAGGGTTCTTCTGAATTATCTTAGTTATGATCATATATATGAAATAACAATTTGGGAAATGTTAAAACAGAAGCCCTATAAATGCACCACCTCATCTTGAAAGAACACACGTTCTTAATTTCTACATGTAGTTAGTTTCATTGATAAATAAATAATAAACTAATTAACAAATTTCACATGTTGAACTTTGATGTTGTGTCATGTCAGAATCTTGTGTTTTCCACAACTTGGAAGCTTTAAAACTCCACATGTTGAACTTCAAATAATTATCTTGAAAACTTCCAAATGTATATAGAAAAAAGAATGGAATTCAGACTAAATACATGTTTCTTCCAATTAAATTTTCAAGAGAGAGAAAGAAAAATTGTCCACTAAAGACCCAAATAAGCGCTTGATGACTTCCAAAAACATTGTTCTTTACTTGGTTTACTCCATGTTTCTATAGACGTGTATCTGAATGACTATTCCATGGGACATTTCTGTCCAATGTAGTTATTGGTGTATCTAATGGTGTTCTACGGAGAATACTTATGATCTTGGAAATCTAGCTAATCTGTTAAGAAGACATATTGGAATGTACTTGCTGAGAAATACCTCAATCTATATTATGCCATCTGGATTTTTTTGAAATTGATCACTCAACAAATGCTTTAACAGTAGTTCTCATCTAATTTTGTCATCTCCTACCGCAACATGGTTATTCAAGAAGTTTGTACATTTTATGTGTAGGTCTTGATGTTAGTTCGGATGTGTCAACTGAAGAACAAAATATTTGCTGTTGGAGAACCTTCTTATCGGTAAACTCCCTAGTCCCTACATTCTACCATGACTGAGTTTTCAAATTGTCAAGAGATTGCAAATCGACAGATTTGGGGGTAGTTGAAAAGGCATTCCAAATCCGAACAGGAGGAAGGAAACAACCTCCCCTCACTCCCCTTCCCTTATCATCTTCCCCATCCCTTCTCCTCCCTTTCTGTCCTACACCTCCAATCCAAACAGTATGTAAGAAAATCGATCGGAATCTCATGGAGAACAAGAACAGCACCAGCACTAGCAATGGGAAATCAGGGTTTGGAGATTGGGCCCGCTTGATTCTCTCTCTCTC